TCTCTCCCCATAGCCCTGTATCAATCCTCAATCTAGTCCCACTGCCCCACTCTCTCCCCATAGCCCTGTATGAATCCCCAAACTAATCCCACTGCCCTGCTCTCTCCCCATATCCCTGTATCAATCCCCAAACTAATCCCACTGCCCCACTCTTTCCCCATAGTTCTGTACCAAACCCCGCCTCCCTTCCCATAGCCGTGCAATAAGTGAAACCAATCCCTAATAAAAGTGTGGGTAGAATGGGAGACAGACACACTTGCACACATACACTGATACACAACACTGATGAAGGGTAACTATTTCTGTCTGTGGATGTCAATGCAGAATTTCCTCAGGGATCTGAGAAGTATTCTATTCACAACCTTGTTCAGCTGCTTCATCAGTGACTATCCTGTCTTTGGGATTTGATTTGTGACTCCTCGAATCCTGGTGCACTCCGTGATTGCATACAGCCAGACGGGATTGGCTGATAAATGACAATATTTGCACAACACACACACTTTTTTCTCACAATGGCTATAACCAGTGACAAAAAAACTCACCTTCCCTTGGTAACAAAATATCATTCTTGCTGCTGACTCCCCTGCTATCAACATCCTAGGGGTTACCATTGACCAGAAACTCAACTGGACTCACCACATTAACACAGCGGCTACAAGAGCAGGTCAGAGGCTGGGAATCCTGCAGCGAGTAACTCCCCTCCTGACTCCCCCCAAAGCCTGTCCCACCATCGACAAGGCACAAGTCAGGAGTGGGATGGAATACTCCCCACTTGCCCCCGGATGGGGGCAGCTCCAACAACACTCAAGAAGCTCGACACCATCCAGGACAAAGCAGCCCCTGCTCGATTGGCACCACATCCACAAACATCCCACTCCCTCCCCCCACCGACGCTCAGTCGCAGCAGTGTGTACCATCTACAAGACGCTCTGCAGAAACTCACCAAAGATCCTCAGGCAGCACCTTCCAAACCTACAACAACTTTCATCTAGAAGGACAAGGGGCAGCAGATACATGGGAACACCACCCCCCTGCAAGTTCCCCTCCTCAAAATCCTGGAATTCCGTCCCTAAGGGCACTGTTGGTCTACCTACATGAACTGTAGCAGTTGAAGAAGGCAGCACAATGACGTCCCCTCATGGGGAATTAGCGATTGGCAGCAAATGCCAATTGCTAACCTTGCTGGTAATGCCCATATCCCGAACCATCCAGCCTCAATATCGAATAGGAGTATGATGTAGACAATAGTTAAGAACGACCTGTATGTCTGCACATCGCCATCAGCTGCATGAACATGCACACCCATGTACACTCATCCTTTCAACATATTCCATCCCCAATTCTAAAGATTGAGAGCAAGACAGAGAGAGATACAGATTGTTGAGTGGCAGTCACAGAGAAACTGACAGAGGTAAAGAGAGTGACAAAGTGAGAGAAAGTGAGGACAAGGCGGTGGGACATAGACCAGGCGAGCGAGCAACGCAGAGGGTGAGCAAGAGGTCCAGAGAAAGCAGCAGAGAAAGGGATTGAGACAGGCAGAGCCTTGACAGTGGAAGGAAACACAGACAGAGCCAAGGAAACCACAGGAGGGGAAACAGAGGGTGAAGGATGGTGACAGAGAGACAGGACACAGGCAGTTACAGCAGGAAAGGATAGAGGCAGAAAGAGTGACACAGTAACAGAGAGAGAGAGAGAGACACACACACAACCAGAGGGTATTTGACTTACAGCCATGAACGAAAGAGGCCAGCAACAACCCAGGCAACAGCAACAAGGGCATCAGGCTGGGCATTGTGCAGGCACAGGTGACCAATCCCCAAAACAAAAAAGTGCAGGGTCTTCTGCTGGGTCTTTTCCTTCCACAAGCACAGGGTCGGGGGAGAGGGGGCGCAGTACGATTCCACACTATTTGTCCCAGATGTTGCTGGACAGAGCCCGAAGTGAATCGAATACCTGTTGTCAGTACGAGTGACAGAGAGAGAGAGGGAGGGAGGGAGGGAGAGCTGAACTCCTGGTGAAACTAGATCCTAAGCGTTGCTCAATGTGTTTGCTTAATGAAAGGTGGAACATTAAAAAAATAAAGATCTTGTTCAAATGTTGGGCAAGAATGAATCGATTCACGCAAAACCAGAAGTGCAACTTGGCAAGGGCGCTTCAGGAAATAATTAACAGAGGTGTCAGCTGGTTTACTGGAATGGAGCTCAGAGACAGAGAGAGGGACTAAATAACCATCAGCTCTTGATGGTTCACGGTCAGCAATGGCCTTACACGCATTTACAAACAAAGGGTTTGCTTTGTTTCGGCATCAACTTCCACATTCCCAGCTTTTCTCATGGGGCTTTCACTGTTGTAATCCAGGAAAAGCAACAGCCCACTTGCGCACAGCAAGATCCCCCAAAACACCAAAGTGATACTGACAGCTTGACTCACGATATTCCTTCGCGGAAGAAATCGTTGGACACAGACAGTGGAAATGCACTGCCAGTTTTCTTTGAGATGGGATCACAGGAGATTTGATGTTCCCCTACAATATTCACATGTGGGATGTGGACATCGCTGCCTGGCCAGGGTTTATTATACAGACTGGGTTTAAGTTCAAAATCTCATCCTTAAAGACGGAACTCTGGCACATGCAGCATGTACTCGGCACTGACCCTGCGACAGTGCGGCGCTCCCCCTGCACTGACCCTCCGACAGTGCGGTGCTCCCTCAGCACTGACCCTCCGACAGTGCCCGCTCCCTCAGTGCTGACCCTCCAACAGTGCCCATTCCCTCAGCACTGACCCTCCGACAGTGCCCATTCCCTCAGCACTGACCCTCCGACATTGCCTGCTCCCTTATCACTGATCCTCCGACAGTGTGGCATTCCGTCAGCACTGACCCTCCTACTGTGTGACGTTCCCTCAGTACTGATGCTCCGACATATTGGAATGATGCTTGCTTGCCTGCGTAAAAGCAGGACCCGCTCACAGAACCTTTCAAAACGAATAGGGTGTCGTGAACATCCTTCTGATATGTTAAACTGTAGCGTGTCGGGGAGAGTTCATAGGAGAGAAACCGCCAGAAACTGCAGACAGAAAACTGTCATCTTTCCCTCTGTCCCTCTGGAGGAAAAAGACATGCAATCTAAAAAATTACAAGAATTCTGAAACTAGAAAAGACCTAGTTCCAACTGATCAACCACTGAATCGAAGATTGACCGTCACCGATGGACAATAATGTCATCCTCAGTAAAATCTAAAGGACTGTGAGAAAATAACTATCCAACTTATGGCCCATCCTTTTGATGCTCAGAATTTTGTTTTTTCCTGTCATTGTTATTTCCACCTGTTGTAAATGTGTTAAACCACCTCTCTTCGTCTCTCACAATTATGAATGAGTCTGTGCATACCTGGAGCTTTTAAACAATTATAGTTTCATAGAAGTAAATTACAAATCCTTTCATTTCTCTTGTTAAAGTTACTGGTGTTAGAACGTAGCATTGTCAGATTTTCTGCAGTTGCAGCCAACCAGGCAAGACTCAGTGTGATTCTGGACATTTTGGGACAGTTTATGGAACCATGGGGCACAATCGTTAATGGTGCACATTCCCAGTGGAGTTGTGACCACGCTGAATAGCGAGCAGTTCCAGATTGGCATCTGATTGGTTGGCTACGCAATACAGGCACCTCCTGTGGACATGAAAGCCTGAGGATGTCCTCGAACTCAGAGCTTCATGGCAACACCTCCACTGCAACTCTCCCTAAAAGGGAGTGGGCACTGACCACATTATTCATCAACACACCCCCAATCTCCTCACTGTGATCACTGCGGGGGTCAACAACAGGACAACAACAAAGATTCTAACAGATTATAAAAGATTATAATCTTGTAAAAGTTACCCCCTGCCCTTCTGAAGGCAGCTCACAGGGACCATACATCAGACACCATTTGACACCCAGCCACATTGGGAGCTCTATTGACAAGCAAAACCTTTGGTCAGAATCATCACTTTGCAGGACCACAGCAACATTCACTCAGCCACTTTTTGCACCTTCACAACATTGTAAGGGGTTGGTAACATTGTCATAGACCACTGGGGAGCAGAGGGTTGCTCTCTCGTTTGAGAGTGAGGTGACTGGGGATGAGTTTAACCCGAGGGCCATCACACCTCAGGGGAGGTGGAGAAGGTGGGAACTTCACTCAGTTGGGTCTGTAAGGACCCTTTAACCCCCAATGACCAGAGGGCTCACCACTGGTGAGAAGGTGTCATTACAGTGTGATGTGTTTACATGGGAAATTTCCATGAGAAAAAATACAGTGATTGTAACAGGGTCCGCCAGTTGGACCCTGTAGTATATGAGTTCTCTGATTGGGGCTATTAATCTGGTCCAGTCAGGGAGCCCTGACTGAGAGATACAAACAGGAGGATCAGGGGTTCTGTTCACTCTGAGAGCTGGCTCTGAGGGAGCTGGGTCAGTGTCAAGGACTCTCCACGTGTAAATAAAGGGTGACTTGGTGACAGGGTACCAGCCTCTGTGGAGTTATTTCAGTGGCAACGAGAGAAAAGCACACTCCTGAAGAAATTCACTCACAACAGTTTTCTTTGAGATAGGGTAAGCATTTCTGGCATCATGCCATAATTTGGGAAGAATAACTCATTCGATCCTGTCGTCAGAAACTGAGTACAGTTTGTGGAAAGAATGCATTTTTTCCAGGTTAATGACATTGGGGAAAATGCAAAGCAGTGAGTAATTCTGACTTTGTGAACCTGCAGCTTTTTCAGTTATTCGGAGCCTGATGTTTCCTGAGACACCAGATACTAAAACCTTTCAATAGTTGATGGATTTAGTGAAGGAACATTACAACCGCGAGTCTCCTCCACTTCTGAGATATTATTGGTTTTACTTGGCAGTTCGAGAATCAGGGGAATATGTGTTGGGATTTTTGATGAAGTTAAGGCGAGTGGCAGAGGCACCTGACTTTGGTTTAGCCCTTAATGAGATGCTGAGAGACCGTTTGATCTGTGGGGTTAATGATGTAACCATGCAAAAGCACCTGCTAGCAGAATCCCAACTGGACTTCAAACAGGCTCAACAACTGGCTTTGTCCTTATAAAATGCAGCAAGTGGGGAATATGAGTTACAGGGTATTCGATGGAAGTGAACACCCTCGCCAGGCCGACTGAGCTTAGGGAACACCACTTGAGTGAAGGCAATTGCACAGCCTCACTCAGGACATATCCTTCACAGAGGAAATCTAGATCAGTCCACAGCAAAACCCCAAAATGAAACCAAGCCTCAGCCAAATGGTTAAAACTTTCTTCGGGATCCGGGCCAGCAAGTCATTGTAGTTGCTGCTGGAAAGTGGACTCAAGACAGTAACAGAGTCCCACTAGGCCTGAATTGTGTAAGAGAACTCATAGGCCGGTATCCAGGAGAGTGCACACCCTGGAAATCCTACCTATATCTGCCTTGGAGCAGTTACATTGCTTAGCAACATCCAAATCAGAACCAATCAAAATGAACATCTGGTTAAATGGTCACCAGGTTCTAATGGAGGTTGATACTGACTGGGCTGTGTCAGTGATCGCAGAACCAGTCTGTAACAAAATTCACTCCGGGCTCCAAACCTTAAGTTAGTGTGAGACCTTGGCCAGACTGAGAACCTACACAGGGGAACCTTTACAGGTTAAGGATACAACTTTGGTTCATGTCTCATATGAGAAGCAGATGGCTCAGTTCCCACTGATTGTAGTAAAAGGATCGGGCCCGAGCCTGATGGGGCAAAATTGGTTGAGAAAGGTTCACCTTATTGGAGCAACATTTTTCAATTAGAAAATGGCTATCCGAGTGAAATCCTCATTAAATACCTGGAAGTTTTTCATTAAAGTCTAGAGACTATCAAAGGAGCCAAGGCTGCTTTGCAAGTTGACCAGGAAGTAATTCCACGATTCTGCAAGGGCCTCCCAGTGCTATTTTGCGTGAAAATAGGGACAGAAATGAGGAAGCTGGGACGTGATGGAATTATCAAACCAGTCCAGTTTGCGGAATGGGCACCACTAGTCCGATTGTGCGGCCCGACAGATCAATTCAACTTTGTGTTGATTTTAAATGAACAGTAAACCGCTTCTCACAGCTGGATAAATACTCGATCGCTCACATCGAGGATTTATATGCAAAGCTGGCAAAGGGAGCTGTCCTTCACGAAGCTGGGCATGAGCCATGCAAACCTACAATTTCAGTTCAATGAGGACTCCCACACGTATGTCACAACTAAACCCCATCAGGGTTTGTACCAATATCGGAGACTATGCCATTTTTCAGTGGATGATGGAGAACATTTCACATTTCATTCGCTGGTTAACTGGATGTTGTGCAACTAACATGCTTAATATAAATATATTAAGGTAGTAGCCTAGACCCTAACTTTTTCTTATTTCAAAGATAAATGCGAGGTGCTGTGTTCCACATGTAATGCGATTGGTCAACAACTTGACGTTAAGCAAAGTACAATTTATTCAAACACTCCAGTCAAAATAAAGCAAAGAGAAACTTGGAATAATTTAATTTTTTTTTGTTCTGCCAGGGCTATTCTTTCCTTTCCTTTTGCCTCAAACTCAGGCTGCTTCATTTGCAATTGAATTTTAGCCATTTCCAAAGATTCTGATGGTGTTCCCAGCAATTGTAAATGCTGCACAATTTCTTCAACTACCTCCCATTTCCTCACAGCCACAGGCAAACCCAACTCCAGCTTGTTTGTCAATTCTGAAAGCTTCGCCTTGCTCACTTTCTGTAAAATTCCAGAAGTGACTTGTTCCACCCCGAAGAAACTCTTAGTGACTGAAAGAGCCATTATTACACAAGGCACTCCCTGTTTCAACCAACCAAATTTAACACCTGAAACAAATGACACTCACACCTACCACTTGCTGCCTCTGAGTCCAGCAATCCTAAACTAAACCTTCATTCAGTGATTTTGATTCCAACAGGAACCCCCCAATTTGTTATTGACCAGACCAAACCCCCTCAAAAATTTCAGAAGATAGCCTTGACCATAACTTTTTTCTTCTTTTAAAGGTAAGTGCAAAGCATTGTGTTCAGCATGCATTTCGCTCGGTCAAACTACCAGATTTGAAATAAAACACACTTTATTCATAGACTTTGCTAAAATGCAACAAAAGAAAGAGGACTTTGGAATAACTTTATTGGAAAACTTTTATTATTCTGAAGAGAATAAAAAAACCGAACGAACTGCGGAAGCTGTAAGTCAGGAACAAAAATAGAAGTTGCTGGAAAAGCTCAGCAGATCTGGTAGCATCAGAAATCAGAGTTTACATTTCAGGTGGGGTGACCCTTCCTCAGTTACGACTAAACAGTAACTGTTCTAATATACTGACACCCCATAAACTCCAACTTGACAAAAGACAAGTTCCAAAAAACAGATTGTCTCACATGCATTTCCAGCAGGAGAGGAGGGAAAATGCATCAAGAGAAAACTCTGAGAGTGAGTGTAGCGGGGAGAGATGTATTGTGGCTTCCAAACCCTGCTGAGACCCCGGCAACAACCCTGAAATATAAAACTAAAATTCTCGTTTTGTGACAGCCTGACCACACCTATTCAAGTTGCTTCTATTGTTCCAACTTTAAAAAAAAAATCGGCCTCACAAGCTGAGAGTTTAAAAAGACAGCTCAGGACTTCTGTCTTAAAACCTCTCCTCAAAAAGAAAGGAAAAATAAATACCTCTTGAAGCCATAACATCATTACAAAGTGATGGGGAGGGAGTATGAGACTTTGTCAGAGTGTTAATCCTGAGAGACGGCTGACCATTGCAGAGTCAGCGTTGAGGATGTGCCACTTTGTCAGAGGGTGATATTGAGTGAGTGATGCCATTGCCAGTGCGAGCATGCTTAGTGAGATCTATCTTGAGAACATCTTTAGCACAACGCGAAAATTCCTCTGAAACCGATGTTTCAGCAATTTCACGTACTCACCTGGAATATTTCCTCTTGTATCTTAGCAATGAGACAGGAACATTACAACACCACCCCTGGCAGGCGGCTGTAACTACACTGTGACATGTTTACATTGGAAATTTCCATTCTACGTTTTCCCCAGGAATTCAAACAAATGTGGGAAAGGTGAGAACATGTGAGACAATCTTTGAGCCAACAATTGTGAATCAGTGTAGAGTTTATTTGATTTTTATTTACAGATCAGCCTGAGTATTTTATCCCATTCTGTTAATACATGTGAAATTGTTCTGAGCTGCCATGTTTCTTGCTATCCCTCACTGCATGAACAACACGCGGCATTCAGAAAGTATGTTCAGGTCTGAGTGAAGTCATGTTTCTGTTCAGGACTATTCGACCATGTAGGCTGCACTCAGTGTTGGGTATGATGGGGTCACACAGCAGCACTGGGGAGAAGAAGGGATGAGGAAAAGTTTGAGCTTGCTGAGGAGGGGAAGGGAAAGCTCTCATTTGTGGCTTTTCACTTTACAGTAAGAAGAACATACACTGAAGTTTAATTGCACTCCACTTGCTGAAGGCAGTCTGCTGGTAAATTGCTGTATGTGCTGATGTAAAGAATACGAGCTTTATAGATCAAGCTGTTGAGGACAAAAACAGGGAAGTTACGCTGAACATTTATAAAGCTCAGGTTCGTTCACAAAGGGACTATAGTTTCCAGTTCTGGTCACCGCACTTCAGGAAGGATGTGAGACTCTTCGAGGGGGAAGGATGTGAGGGTCTTTGAGAGGATACGGAGGAGATTGACCCGAATGGCTTCTGGGAGCAGGGATTTGAGGGACGGGGTTCAGGTGGAGAAGATGGGGCTGTTCCCCTCGGAGCGAAGGAGATTGGGAGGGGAGTCTGACTGACACGGACATGTTGGGGACAGGTTTAGATCAGGGAGACAAAGGAAAGTTGTTCCCACTCACGGTGATACAAGGACCATGGGAGACAGATTGAACATTCTGGGTCAGATATACAGAGCGGGATTGTGAGGAAGGACTGTTATACACAGCGAGACATAATGATCTGGAAATCACTGCCTACGAGGTGAGGTGGAAGGGGAGATGCTCAGTGATTTCAAACAGAAATTGGATGGACATTTGAGGGAAATAAACTCCTAGAACAATGTGGAGAGACTGGGGAAATGGGACTGACTGGAGAGCTGGCATGGCCTCGGTGGGCTCAATGGCCTATGCCTGTGCTGTAATAACTCTCTGGATCTCAGATGATCCTAAGCAGTGCCATTTAGTGGATTTAGTGCATATTAACCAAAGGGTGCATGTGATTTGGTTGCAGTGACAAAGCTTGAAACAGCCTTTCAATTTCCCTTAACCACTTGTCGCTCACAGACGCAAATACCAGCAACAGTGAGAGCTACAGCCACAATGAATATCCCAGCTCGTATTCCCAAAATCAGGATCACATGCAGGCTCTCTAGAAAACACAGAGAAAGAATGAATTACTTTGTGTCCATTTTCAATCTCTCGCTGTGGGTGAACACTCAAGCTTCATTTCACTGTAACATTTCCTGCAATATTGATGGTGGGGTGCAGTGAGAATGTGACAGGCAGCAAAGTGCTGGGTGATCACCAGGAAGACTATGGTCAGGCAGTGCAGGAGCCCCCTGTGACCATTCCCTCTCAAACAGATAGACCGTGTTGGATACTGTCGTGTGGGGTTGGCCTCTCAGGGGAAAGCAGCGACAGCAATGTTCATGGTGTCGCAGTTGGCTCTGCTGCACAGTGGGGGAGGAAAATGTCTGGGTGAGCTTTAGTGAGAGGGAACTCGATTGTAAGAGAAACTGACAGGCGGTTCTGTGACCACAAACGGGACTCTGGAATGGTATCAGAGATAGTAGGAACTGCAGATGCTGGAGAATCTGAGATAACAAGGTGTAGAGCTGGATGAACACAGCAGGCCAAGCAGCATCATAGGAGCAGGAAGGCTGACGTTTCAGGCCTAGCCCCTTCATCAGAAATGGGGGAGGGGAAGGGGGTTCTGAAATAAATAGGGAGAGAGGGGGAGGCGGATAGAAGATGGATAGAGGAGAAGATAGGTGGAGAGGAAGAACTGCTCTATCCATCTTCTATCCACCTCCCCCTCTCTCCCTATTTATTTCAGGACCCCCTTCCCCTCCCCCAGCTCTCAAATGGTATGTTGCCTCCCTGGTCAGGGCCGTCCCAGAGTAGCTGCAGGGAATTCTGAAGGCGGAGGGTGTAGAGCCAGCATTCGTGGTACAGCTCAGTTCCACTGACTCGGGGAAAAGAAAAAGAGATGAGGTCCTGCAACAAGGTTTGAGAGAGTTAGGTAATGGATTAAAGAGAAAGTCATGCAATATCTGTGTCTGACAGGATCAAGGAAAATCCCAAGGCTTTTTATCCATATATTAAGAGCAAGAACAGTTTCTCCACGTAAGCTGCCTTTGTACCTCGCTTTATAACGGACTGGAATGCTGATTTCTTGAACTTTTAAAAAAAAAGTTCTGATTTATTCCTAAGATTTTGTACCTAGATATCTTTGATCCAAAGAAGGTGTTGGAAATGGTGACTTTGTACACTTTTCGCTGCACTGCCAGTGTATCCACTATCTCTGTGGTGCTGTGACACAGAGACAGTCAAATGAAATCAGCCTTTCTACCATAATATTATGTTGCCTGGAATGGAGGGTTTGAGTCATAAAGAAAGGGTGGATAAGCTGGAACTTTTCTCACTGGAACATAAGAGGTTGGGAGATGACCTTATCGAGGTTTATGAAATAATGAGGGGTACAGGTAGGGTGAATGGCATAACCCTCCAAACTTTCCTATTCATGTACTTATCCAAATATCTTTTAAACTTTGTAACTGTACTCATATCCAGCATTTCCTCTGTAAGTTCATTCCACACACAAACGACTCTCTGCATTAAAAAAATTGCCTCTCATGTCTTTTTTAAATCTCTCTCCTCCCACCTTAAAACCTGTCCATTCACCCTATCCGTACTCCTCATTATTTTATAAACCTCTATAAGGTCATCTCTCAACCTCTTATGTTCCAGTGAGAAACAGTCCAGCTTATCCACCCTTTCCTTATGACTCAAACCCTCCCTTCACAGCAACATCCTGGTAAATCTCTTCTGAACTCTCTGTAACTTAATAATATCTTTCCTATAACTGGGTGACCAGATTTAGACACAGTATTCCAGAAAAAGCCTCACCTACGTCCTGTACCAACTCAACATGCCGTCCCAACTCCTTTACTAAAAGGACTGAGCAATGAAGGCAAGCATGCTAAATGCCTTCTTAACCATCCTGTCCTTTTGTGATGCAAACTTCAAAGAATTATGTACCTGAACCCGTCGATCTCTCTGTTCTATAGCACTGCCCAAGTCCCTTGTATAAGTTTTGTTTTTGTCTGTTTTGCCAACATATAATACATCACATTTATACAAATTAAACTCCACTTGCCACACTTCAGCCTATTGACTCAATTATTCAAGATTTCTTTGTAATCTTAGATAACCTTCTTCATTGTCCACTATACCACCAATCTTGGTGTCATCCATAAAACTTACCAACCATGTTTTTGAAATTCTCATCTAAATCATTTCTATAAGCAATAAACAAAAGTGGTCTCAGCACCAATCTCTGTGCACCAGCACATGCTAGCCCCGGGTCTCCAAACAACCCTCCACTGTCACTCTCTGTCTCCTACTGTTCAGCCAATTTTGCATCCAACTGGCAAGCTCACCCTGGATCTAACTTCAGTAATTCATCTACCATGTGGAACCTTGTCAAAGGCAAGGCATAGGCCAGGTATTCCTGTTGTAAACCTTCCCTAAGCTGTTTCAAACACATTAATAACCCTCCTTAAATAAGGAGGCCAATATTGTACACTATACTCCAGATGTGGCCCAACATAAGTGAGGAATAAATTCCCCACCTTTGGATTAAATTCTCTTTGTGAGAAACATTCTACGAGCTTTCTGGATTACTTGCTTTACCTGCGGACTGACCTTATGAGATTCATGCACTTGAACACCCAAATCCCACTGCATCTCCGAGCTCTGCAATCTCTTACTATTTCAATAACTTGCATCTCGTGTTTTATAAAACCGGGCACTTGGGGAGTGTGGAGTCCCCTTGCAGTGAGAGCTCGCACAGGTTCATGTGCGGTTATCCCATGTGAGTTCAAGCACCCTACCACGATACCAGACAAGGTGAAGAAGATTGCAATGTGGCTGCAAGACCATCACTACCATGGAAATAAAGTTTATCACAATGAAGAGGTGGGACAAGCTGATTACAGGCGGCGGGTGGAATTTCTCGGAACCTTGGAGAATGGGAATTGTACCCTGAAGGTGAAAAACTTAACAAGCAATGACAGCAGAAATTATTATTTCCGGATTGAAATGGATGAGCATAAGTGGTCACAGCAAACAGGGAGCAGACTCGTGGTTTCTGGTGAGTTTCTTCCTTAGTCACTGTCTAATGATGTTATTTACAATGTCAAATGCCATTTGACATGTTTCACACTTTCCCTCTCTTCCTCGATCTTTCTTTTTCCCTCCTCAATCTCAATTATTTCTAATCCCCTCTTTTATTCTCTCCCATCACTCAAACTCTTGCTTTCTACCTCTCTGTCCCTTCCTTTCACACTCACACTCCCTCGCCTCTTCCTTGCCTCTCTCCCTATCCATCCCACCCTCTCTCTCTTCCTCAATGCTCACTCTTTCCTGGTTCTTTGTCTCACACTCCCTATCTTCCACTATGGCTTTCTCCCTTTCTCTCCCACTCCCTCTCTCTTTCCATCGTTTTCTCTCTCTATCTCTCTTTCAATGCACTTTTCCCCTCACTTCGTCTGTCTCCCGCACTCCCACTTGCTCTCTTCGCCTCTGCCTCTCCCCTGTTCATTTGCATTACCTCTCTCATTCCAGAACACTCTCTCCTTCTCATTCTCTCCATCTCTGCCTGTCATTCCTATTGGTCCACATCCGATTAATTATCAACTGCTTCATACCTCCTTCTAACTGTCTTCAAACTCTCTCTCTTTCATCTCCCACAGGATCCAAATCACATGCTGATAAATCTGCTGATAAATACTGACCCTCCGACAGTGCGGCGCTCCCTCAGCACCGACCCTCCAACAGTGCTGTGCTCCCTCAGTACTGACTCTCCGACAGTGCGGCGCTCCCTCACACTGACCCTCCAACAGTGCGGCGCTCCCTCAGCACTGACCCTCCGACAGTGCGGCGCTCCCTCAGCACTGACCCTCCGACAGTGTGGCCCTCCCTCAGCATGTTTTATAAATTTTTGTGTTTGGATTGGATTGGGTTGATCGCTCCAACAGCTGAATGACCTGCCTCTGCCTGTGTGCTCTCTGTTTCCTGAGGGATGTAAGAGGAATGATGAAAGGCATTAATATCAACAGGAATGATCCAAGGCTTTTCTTCAGTGTTGCTGGGTCATATTCCTGGAATCCCCTCCCTAAGGTGCATTATGATTCTAGCTACAGCGCAAGTACTGCAGCGGTTCAAGAAGGCAGCCCACCCCCACCTTCTCAAGGGGGACAACTAGGGACGGGGTAATAAATACTGTCTTGTGTAATCCTTTGAAACCAATAAATAGCTGGAAATTTTTTTCCCACTGTGAGTACAATCTGGGGAATATAACTGATTAACAGAGGGCCAGCCTGGGATCGATGGGCTGAGTGTCCTCCTCATGTCCCTGAATGGATCTTGTGATTGAGTGAAGGGGGATGGGTCAGTGCTGACCCTGAGCATCCCAAGCCAGGAGGTAATGGGATAAATCACTGCGTACTCACACAGCATGTTTAATGTGGTGGTAGCATTGTGAATTTCACCGCTCGCTGTTTTAAATCCACAGCTCAGAGTCCTCCCGTTGTCCCGGTAAGACGGCGTAAATTTCAGGATGGTGCTGCTCGCTGGTTTACTGATTTCTGGCCGAGAGCTTGCGGTTGATGATGAAATGTTCAGACCCTCAGTGTCAAACCACTTCAGCAAACCGGGACAGAGCAAACTCACCGAGCAGTTCAGGCTCACCTCCACATTCTCCAGCACCTCACCCGGATCTGATATCTTTATCAACTCAGACACATCTTTACAGAAAACATCAGTCAGGGCACAAGGTTAATTCATGGAGATTGAGTTTGGAAAGAGTGTGCAAAGCATTTATTTCCAACCGGCAAGTACAAGCAAAGAGAAACTTCTGATGCACGGAGACCGTAACTGCACAACACTCCGAGTGTGGGTCTAACTGAGGGATACGGAGACTGGAACTGTGCACGGTGCTCTGAGTGTGGGTCTAACTGAGGGATACGGAGACCGGAACGTTGCACGGTGCTCCGAGTGCGGGTCTAACTGAGGGATACGGAGACCGG